AATCTCGGGTACGGACCGGCATCTAGCCTGCTCGGTGGGATCGGCCTATTGCTCACCGCAGGTCCTTGGATTCTTGTCGGATATGGCGAGACAATCCGGGCGAAGAGTCGATTTGCCAGCAAATTGAATCAGTGAAGCAGAATCCGGAGTTGCGATCCACTCCTCGGCGCCGGATACGGGATGGGACCCGGAGGCGCCCCGCTCCGACAGCCGCGACGATGGGCCCAAGCTCCGAAGTTTGGAATTTGCTGGAAATGTCGAACTAGCCAGCCCCCCTCGACATTAACGCTTGGTTACGTCACAGACACGGTATCCCGCTGGCGGTGTGCGCGTTGCACGACAGGGGACGTTGCAAATGCATGAGCGTTCGAATCGATGGAATCATAAGGATACTCCTCGATGGCAATAAATACTCTTCTGCTTGACTGAATCTTCCCCTCTTCCATGAGCGCCGGATGCTCTATGACCTACGTGTTTATGTCCTTCCAGCCCGTCCCTTCAAACCGCCTAGGTTCTGCCAATGTCGCTCGCGCAGCACGTCACCCAAGCCGAAGGCTTCGATTACGAACGTCCCGCAGAACAGCCCGACCAATCCGGTGATAGCGAGGCCATCTTCGGCACACTTCAACCCTTGTCAACTGACAGCCTCATCAACAACAATGATCCGCAATGGCGACGCCTGAGCTTCGCACCTGTTGAGCAGACTCACGTCGAAAAGCCCATCGCAGCATACAAAGTCTCCAACGCGAAGAGATGGGGTAAGCGCTGTGCCAAACGTTCAATCCGTTTTACGTCAAGCCGCTAACACGGTGTAGCACAGGTGGCCACTGGCATCGTCGCGTGTTGGCTAGCTGCAGGCATCGTCTTCGGCTTTGCTGCCCTCAAGCCAATTCTGATTGCCGAAGGAGTCTACAGCGACCTTTGCGATGCCAACGACCTAGTTACTGCCGATGACGGCGAGTATATTCCCTGCACGGAGCAGGACTTACGCCTCAATCTCTTCTTTGTCGTCGCATCTGTCACTGCCAACGTGTCGTCTCTTCTGGCTGGTTCAGTTCTTGATCGCTACGGTCGACGGACCTGCTGGATACTATCCTCCATCTGCCTCACCATTGGTTGCGTTCTGATGGCCGCCTCCCACAACTTTGAAGGCTACTTCGATGGTTACTTCCTTGGCAACATCTTCCTGGCTTTGGGCGGAACATTTGTTTTCGTTTCCAGCTTTCAGTTGGCCAACGCATTCCCAAAGTATAGTGGGCTCATCATTGCCCTTGTCACCGGAGCTTTTGACGCGTCCGCTGCCGTCTTCCTCATCTATCAGATGGTGTATGACGCGACTAACGGACAGCTGTCCCTCGAAAAGTTCTTCTACGCATATATTGCCATCCCCGTCCTCATCTTGATTGCTGAGATTGCCTACATGCCAGCCCGATCTTATCATACCATGACGCAATTGGAAAAGAAAATTGAGAAGGCACAAGATGAAACACGCGATGCCCACGACTCGGATAACGAGATTTCCGACGACAGAGCGCTGAGAAAGGTCCGAAGCGCCAGAGCCGAGCGGCGACTGTCCAAGTTGGACCAGATTGAAGAGGTCGCCGGCGATGCACAAGCTCGTGAGGAGCGCGTCAAAGTCAATGAGGAGCGACAAGAGGCGAGTGGTGTATGGGGTGTACTTCACGGTGTCCCTGCCCACAAGCAGATTCAGAGTCCATGGTTCATTCTCATTCTCCTTTTGACGATCGTGCAGATGTTGAGAATGAACTACTTCATCGCAACCATCCGCGCTCAATACCGCTTCATGCTGGGCTCTGAAGTTGAAGCCGATGCAATCAATCACTTCTTCGACATCGCTCTGCCTGTTGGAGGACTGGTGTCAACTCCATTCATCGGCTTTCTCCTCAATAATCTTAGCGTGCCCACAACATTTGGGGTTTTGACTGTTCTGATTGTGGCGATCGGTCTTCTCAATTGCCTTCCATTCGTATGGGCGGGCTATGCGACTGTTGTCTTTTTTGTCGTATTTCGACCTCTCTACTACTCAGCTATTTCGTAAGTACAGAGCACAATTCCTTATTTACAAATATTCAGAGGCACTTACAAGGCTTAGCGACTACGCAACGAAGGTCTTCGGCTTCGCTACCTTTGGCCGCATCTATGGCACCATCGTATGCGTTTCTGGGTTGATCAATTTCTCCCAATCCGGCCTCGATGCCCTCACTCATGGCCCATTGGGTGGTGATCCAACGCCCGTCAACATTACTCTTGGAGCTGCAGGCACTGTAGTCGGTCTCATTCTGACCGTATTTGTGGCCATTAAGGGACGGACTTTCGTGAAGGAGGAAAAGCCTGCCTTGGATGCTATGGAGGAGAGGCAAAGATTGCTGTCAACTGCGGGACAAGATTATGGAACCCGGGAATAACGGCACGATTGCGTATCACAGGTAAAGAGGCCATTGCTAGATTGTGGAGAACAAAATGTTGGACAGCGCAATGTTTCATAGATGCCTAGTACTTTGTAAGACCAGAACTCATTTGATGACCATACAAGCCAATTTAGACATGTTCATCTCAACCAATCACTCAGGGATAATCGTCTCCCTCAAGCGTCAAGCAGCTCAGCCTCTCTGCGAACCTGTTTCTTCTCGCGCGAGTCTACGCCCAACCACAAGAGATCGGGTCGGCTGTAGTGTCCGTGAACATCTAGCATAGCCTTGACTTTCATGATTTCATCCAAATCAATGTCGGCAATGACAAGACCCTCTTCTTCCTCCCCGAGATCCTCCGTGAGCTTCCGACCATCGGGTGCGATGATGCAAGCGCAGCCGCCACCGCCGATGTGGTAGAGCTTTCCATCGCCGAGCTTCTGGCGATCCACGCCAGTCTGGGTGTAAAAGGAAGACGATAAAACGACGAAGCAGTTACCTTCGATGGCGTGTGTAGTGGAGAGGTTGCGGGTCCCTAGGCCAAATTGTTAATGCCTGATTCAGGTTGGTATAAAGGTTCTTGAGGCACATACCTTCGCGGCACTGAGACCAAAGAGCCGAGCCCTCGGGGAAAGAGTTGAAGTAGTTCATGGGGGGCCAAGCAGCCACATGGATTTCCTCGCCCTGGGAGTAAGTGTGGAAGCGCAGTAAAGGCTGAGAGTGTTCCCAGCAAGATAAGGCACCGACCTTGCCGATGCCAGGCTCTTCGACAACATTGTGAAGAGAAGCACCGCTGCCGTCACCGTACAAGGTTCGCTCGACATGGGTAGGCTTGATCTTGCGGCGATTCATTTTGATCTCTCCATCTTTGCCGATGAAAGATTGAGATAGGTACAAGGAATGATTCGCATTCTCTGAGTATCCCAACATGACGGCAATTTTGTTCTTGCCTGCGCAAGCACAGATTCTAGCCATCTCTGGACCGTCTCGTTTAAGGGAGGACTTCATGTACTCCTTGACCATGTCAAAGTCAATGGGTCTCTGCCTGTTGCATCCGTTCAGCACTACGTAGACACAGGAATGATATTGTGTTGAAATGGCTCACCAGATCCATCCTGGATAGTTCGGGATCCAGACTTCAGGAAAGGCAATTAAGTCGCAGCCTTTACCAGCAGCTTCCTCTATGAGCTTGCATGTCTTCTCGACTGCAGCTTCCAAATCAAAGTAGCAGCCTTCGGCCTGAACGGCGGCGACGCGAATGGGCTTGACGGACATTTTCAGCAGAAAGAAGTTTCAGGATTGATACGGTGGGTGAAATAGCTATGAGTTAGAGGCTCTTTGCGTTGATCTCAACATTCTACAAGGCCTGGCAATTTATACTTTCAAAGCTCATAGAACAGTACATCTCTTATCTCCCTGTTGATGTCGAGTTGTGACCCAAAGCTCCATCGCCACGCCCCCGTTAGTGATAAGAGCTTCAGAACTTGACATGTTCCCACTCGACTGAGCCATTCTGATGCAGATAACACATTCGAATGGTTGGAGATTACCAAGCATCCCGGCGATCGCCACTCTGACATAAAAAAGACGATAAGAATTATAAGCATGTTTGAAGAAACTGTGAATGACTACACGTCAGAACCTACTGGAGTTGCGGGTCGGGTTTGGTTCAAACCCCGATCCCAATGCATCCCCTGTGAGCTGAAATGAACCCTAGCCTACAGCCTGGTCCCCAACCAAGATCGGCCCCAGATTCAATTGGCGTCGGGTCATGCAAGAGTTGGGGTACTCCAACTCCACTGTGGAGGTCTCCAACAGCCCCGAAACAGGTTGGCGACCATAGGGCACATCCACTAACACGCGTATTCGGAGGCATGTTCAGCAGCTCAAACCCTCTCGTTCGACGGCAGTATGTCTCCATGTCCTGATGCTTGATATAAGACCAAGAGTAGCCTTTCAAAAACTTAGACATGACGCCCTCTCTAGGAAGTCTGTTATCCTCGTGACTGAATGAAGGTTAGGTGTTGACTTGGACTCTAGACTTTGTATGCACGCAGCACGGGCGGGCACCCAGAGCCCGGGCTGGGCAGTGGGAGCTCGAACGATGAGGAAGTACATGCAATTATTTCCAGGTTCCAGTTGCTTGAATCATTCTAGCGTTGATTAGTAATGGCGATTCATCATTCTCTCAGACACCCTGAGAAATCCGCGAGGAGTTTTCTCCGTGAAGCATTTCTGTCTAGTGAAGCTTCGATAGCAGTCGCTCGAACCTAAACAGTCAACTGAACAGTTCAACCACATCGCCATGCCACCAGAAGCTGGACGACCCTATGTTTCGAAGATATGCCACATTTGTCATCGTACCTTTGTGAGAGGCGAGCACTTACGGCGACATTTACGAACACGTGAGCGCTCTATTTACTCTATTGCCTTTCACCCGAATTAACGTAGGAACCTGCCGTAGACACCAAAGAGAAGCCATATGGCTGTCACTGCGGTCAGTCGTTTGCAAGACGTGACTTACTCACTAGACATGAGCGACTCTACCACTCTGCTGTGCCTGGAACTTATATGGTGACTCCCGCATCGCCTTTAGATTCGGCTCTCAATCTGAGCACCGCGGGTGTCTGGCTTCCCGGCGGCGATGATTCAAGCATCAATTCGCACAGCGAGCCCCAGCGTAGCACCATCGCCAACAACCCACCTAGTCGCATGCTGCCAGTTCCGACACCGACCGAGTCAAGCACATTCATTGCCAACGCCGAGCTTCTGGACCCTCCTTCTCCTATGGAAGCCATGCTCGACATATCCGATTTCTTCGATTCCGTGGGACTTGACTTCGAATACGGATTTGATTTCTTTGGCCCTGGCGACCACGTGCCGGCAGGGCTGTCGTCGGCCACGGAGAATGCCTCGACTGGTGAGCCCGGCCAGCAAGAGAACAATGAGATTCCAAATTCAGGGTCGAATTTAGAAGGGCCGCTTGCGGAGCATTTGTGTAAATGCATTCCGGATGGCGATACAGGAGAGGGTAGGCTAAAGTTTCACCTCTCTCCAGATACCATATTCTTACATGCTTGATTCAACTAGACGATTTCTGTGAACTGAAGCCCATATCACAACCCTGGAAAGTCAGCGAGCCTCAAAGGCTTGTGTTTCAAGAGTATCTCAGGTCTTACGCATCCTGTCTTGAATCCTTTAGACTGCCCTCGAGACTATCTATGTCAAGATACATCGCCGGTTTCGTGGATGGTTACAGCAATCACCACCCTTTCATTCATATGCCCACTTTCTGCGTCACCAAGTATCAAGACTCACCAGAGCTGGTGCTAGCTATGATGGCAATCGGTGCGCAGTTTCGCTACGAGTCTCGCAATGGTGCTGCACTATACCGCGCAGGAAGGGCAATTATACTGCACCGGCTCAAATCCGGGCAGTTTTCCGTCCAGCCAGCAGCTCCTGCTGTTGATCAGGAATCGTTCCTCGCAGCTGCCAACACAGAAACAGACTGCCAGTCCCCAAGCGCCCGCATGGAGAGCATCAAGGGTATACTGTTGCTCGCTACTTTCGCAACATGGCAGCAGGATCGAAGTCTTGTTCGGGAGTCGTTCGAGTACCAAGGCCTCCTGGCAAGATGCATCCGTGAAAGCGTATTGACGGAGACGCTTGCGAACGATGGGAACGACTGGCATGTATGGGCCAAAACTGAGTCGGACAGAAGGGTGAAGCTGGCGTCCTTTTGCTTTTTGAACCTCCAAAGCCTAGTGTTCAACGTACCGCCTGTTCTGCTTGGTAATGAGATCTTTCTCAGATTGCCAGTGACCTGCGATGAATGGCTAGCACCGGGACCGTCCAGGTGGCGTGAAGCTCGCTCCAAGGCAACGTCGGTGATCTCGTTTCAAGAGGGGTTTGTCCCACTGATTCACAACCGTCCGGGGAAAATTCCAGCCACCTCCCCGTTCGGCAATTTTGTCCTGATGCACGCGCTTCTTCAGCGCCTCATCGTGTCTCGACAGCTTTGCCTGGATCCTCAAGGACCGGGACTGTCTTCACATGAAGTAGCGAAGTTTGAACTTTCACTGCATAGATGGCGAGAGCAGTGGTGCAAGGCCCCAGAATCTGTCCTAGACATCCGGAATACCAAAGGCTCGCTGTCTTGGACGGCAACATCTTTGCTAGGGCTGGCTCATATTCGCCTACACTTTGATCTTGGGAACAAGAGACAAATCTATTCTGGGGACCCTCTATCCATCGCAGCAGCTGCATTTGAAGCTCGGCCACCTGAACGTGGCCTACGCCTTGTGTTTGCCCTCCTACACGCCGTTCATGCCCTGAACATACCGGTTCAGCTCGGCATTGACTACCTGGCTAATTGCCAAGCGTTCTTCTGGAGCCTGCAGCATAGCTTTTGCTCATTTGAGGCAGCCGTGTTTCTCAGCAAGTGGCTTTTGGTACTCGCCGATGGCCCCGATGTTGGAAGTATGCATTGTAAGTTGAATATCATGCAGCGACAAATAGCCCGCTGGCACTGACATTTGGATTTAGTCAAAGAAAGGCAAATAATCAGATGGTTAGAATTCATCGTAAATGAAGCACTGGCCTCCGTCGACGAAATGCAAGACACTCTCCAGAGTCCTGACAGCCCAATAACAGCGCATTCTTTGAGGTTTCTTGGCAATATGGTCATCAAGTTATTCGCAAAAATGTTCCAGCGATGCAACAGCGCTTGGCCCATTATGAGGATCGTCGGCGAAAGCCTCCACGAGTACTCCAGATTGCTAGACGGAATTTCCGGACCGGACAGTTCGACTTCGACAGGCAGCTTTAGTCGTGCGGTTTCGAATTAGTCGCAGGTTATTCCGCGGCACTGGATCGACCGAGACCAGGATTGACCAAGCCGAAGCACCTATGAAGTTGCAAAGCAATCCGGAAGGATATGGGACGACGAGAGGACGAGCTTATGTAGATCATTAGTTGATCTCGATAAAAAGGCAATCATACTGATATTTCCATCCCTATATCTAGTCTTCCGATGAACAGCTGGTGCAACTGATGTCTCTGCATTGACATTCGTGGGCCAAACATGGATCAGACGACGATCAAACCGCAAGTGGCCGACCAACCCGTTCGGATGGCAGCTGCCATCATCCGAATCAGATGCATCGTGGAGAAGATCGTCGAAAAGTGACCATGATTCGACCAGAGCTTTGACTTTTTCCGAGGCGAGTTTCAGCGAGCCCGGCATTGCCTCGAGAATTATGGTTCCTGTCATACGGGTCTGTATCAAGTTCACCGAAAGCCGCGAAAAAACATGCCGGCCCATCGAATGAACGGTATCCCACAGCTGCTGCGACTTTGAAACTGGTAGAGCATGTCGGGTTACTAGGTATTTAAGTGTTGACATCCTCGGAGTTTTCAATGTTGTCATCTAGTCCTTCCCTGACAACTTCGCGACAATTCCAAACATTCACTTTGCTGTGCAAACTCTTTCGCTTCTTCGACCTGGTGTCATTCTATTTCTTATTAGTATTCAAGCATTTTCAAGTCTTATATAACTTTCACTCAACTACCGCGAAAATGGTCCGCATCACTCTCTTCACCACTCTCGCTCGTGAGTGCACTCAGTCTATACCATCTTCAGGAAACAACAGCTAACCCGATGCAGTCGCCATGACGGCCTTCGCGCAGATCAAGCCCAACAACGCTGGTGCGAGCAAAGTTGGCAAGGGTGACGGCTCTCAGTTCATCACGGGCGGATGCGTCAGTGACGCCGACTGCTCTTCCGCGTGCTGCGCGAACGCCAGCGGCGTCGGCGTGTGCTCCGCTGAGGCGGCACAGTTCCAGAACGGCAAGAATGGCTGCGGTTTCGACGACCCCAACGCCGCTGCAACCATTGCTGCTGCTCAGGCCCAAGCCAAGAAGCAAGGTTTCTAAGCTGGAAATGCAGAAACTAGGGCCGCTGGGGGATTTCGCACTGTCGAGCCATGAGAAGGCGAAGCTCCACGCAGGAAAGCCACAACAACCTTGGTTTAGCAACCGAAAACAATAAAGCCCAAAGTACACAATCAGTTGAAACCATTGAAGAATACCCCCGGCATGTGATTAGCGCTCAATATGAAGCTTACTTAACAGAGTATCGGACGCATACATCAGTCATGAGTACCTGGATATCATTCCGGACATGCCACATCTTCATACTTCATACTCGGGCGGCGGGTTAAACACCTCGCTGATTAGGAGACACCCGGTAGCGTCCGTGTCCTGTCGAGGTTTATTAGCTACCTCGCCCGAGCTTTGAGTGCATGGCGGAACTTTTCAACACCCTCCCCGTCGCACTGGCTCGTACTCCGTACCACCAATAACAAGCGGTATTACATTTTAGGCAGTTGACAACTGAATGGTCCCTAAGCGAGCCGAATCGCCAAGTCGCTACTGCTGTTTGAGGTTGAGAAGGGCATGCCAAGCTTGTGAGGGAACTTCCTAAATCGAGGCGGCATTTTCTAATTCTCGGGTCTGTGTTACTTGATTGAAATCTTACGACGTCCTCGTTACTTGACACAGATGCGCCGTGGAAAGCAGTGAGGTACGTGAGAAATAGTTTTCCATTGGCCGGTCTTTTAGCTTTAAATGACGAACAGCCGAGCCTATGCTGAATCTGGAAGCTAGAAGTTGCTTGTTCACTTGGCGACCCGTTTAAGCTTAAAAACAACACGTCTCCTGCCCTATGTTTCTCCTCGCTCCGGCCAGATGCCACCATGCCGATGTTTGCCCAGAGCGCGCTACTAAGCGTTGCAACGTCGGAGACTAATCGAGATTCCTCATCTGGCAGCTGGGGAATATCGCGGTGATCACTGGCGGGACCATCCGACGATGGAGCCGTTGAATCCCCGCACCATTATGGAAAGTTTGGGTGAATCAGTCGTTCGACGCCACAGACTTGTGGCCAACGCAGAAGGGTATATAGGCTTGCTGGCATTCCCCAGAAAGACGAAGTTAGCGATGCCTTTTCACTGTCGCCGCCCTTCAATACTCGACGTCGAGCACGCTCAAGAACAGACAAGATGCGCTTCATTGCAACCCTCGCTCTCACCGCGGCCTCATTCGGTTTGGTGGCTGCCGCCCCTGCCACCGAGGCCCCCGTTGCGGACAAGGCCGACTTGAGGCTGATCAAGACATCCGAAGAGGATGCTGGCACATGGGTTACTGAGGACGAGAAGTTTGAGAAGTACACCTCAAAGGGGATTGGCTTCATCGACATCACCGATATCACTGTACGTCAACTGGCTGGTCAATTTTTACACCGGGCTGCGCGACGATGATTCTTCAAACATAGTCTTTCCGACGTAGTCTCACTTGACGTGCAATGCTGATGAAACCATAGGACGAAGAAGTCTTGGCCGCCCTCTCCACCGCCGATGATGTTCAGATCTCCAAGCTGTCCGCCCGCCAGGCGGTTACCTACCCCACAACTTTGACCCATATCACTGAGGCCAACTCGCTCATCAGCCGCGTGAGCAACACTGGTCCTCAATCCTGGCTGAAGACCTTGACAGAGTATGTGAAAAGCAGAGAAACTGGAGTATGTATGTCAAATCAAAACTAATGAACGGTGCCTGAAGCTTCAACAACCGTCACTACCGATCCACGACCGGTACTCAAGCTTCCACTTGGTTGTACAACCAAGCTGTGAGCATTGCTTCTGGCAACTCTGCCATTACCGTGTCTCGATTCACCCACTCTTTCAACCAGCCTTCCATTATCGTCAAGTACCCCGGTACTACTTCCGATCTGGTCATTGTTGGAGCTCACATGGACTCTACCGCTGGATCCTCGACTGCTCGCTCCCCTGGTGCTGATGATAACGGCTCTGGCACTGTCGTCGTTCTCGAGGCCCTTCGCGTGCTTGTTGCTGCTGGTTTCAAGCCCAAGAACACTCTCGAGTTCCACTTCTATGCTGGAGAAGAGGGTGGCCTTCTCGGCTCTGCTGGTGTTTTCTCTAACTATAAGTCTGCCGGCAAGCGTGTTCTTGGTATGCTGAACCAGGACATGACTGGCTACTCCCCCGGTGGTAAAGCTACTGTGTACACCGACTATGTCGACGCCGCCTTCACGTCCTACGTTCGTCTCATTACTACTCAGTACACCGGTGCTACACCCGCTAGCTCCTCTTGCGGCTACGGATGTTCCGATCATGCTAGCGCTAGGTCCAACGGATTTCGTAAGTGTTGTAGGCGGTTGTGGAGTGAAATCCAGCTAATCAAATCTCAGCTTCTGCCTTTGTCAACGAGGAGCCTTTCGGCACTGCCAACCCCAATATCCACACTTCTAGAGACGTGAGTTATGAATCACTATGGGTTGAGATCCACGACTGACACGTACGGTTACAGACATACGAGAGCATCCAGTGGAACTCAGTTCTGCGTCACTCCAAGCTTACTGTCGGCTTCTTGGTGGAGGCTTCTTATCTCTAAATGCGACGATGAACGTATCCAGCCTGTGCATTTACCACCTACTCAGTATTGAACATAGGCTTCCATCTCGGTTAATTTTGATTGAATTTCGGTCGATGTTCTGGACAGTCTCTTTACCACCGGTGATCGTCAGTGAAAATGAGGTGCCCAAGTTTCGTCGGCTGTGTTGAGGCAAAAAGCTCTGACTTGAGCCGCGCCCCTATCCTGCGGTATCAATTACGTGTAGATTGCTCTGGGCGTGCTGTTGGCGGATTTGAGAAAATCTTTCCTTGACAACGAAAGCAATCCCCGCTAGAGTCATACAGACGTAGCTTCTCAGGGGCTTCGTTTTCTGAGGCAAAAGCAAGGAATGCTCTTTTGACTCGTCGTACCTTAAGCTTAAGGGCTTGGACCCAGTGTCGCATTCAACAGGGATGCCGGTGCATACGTCTTGAACTCATCACAGTTAGGCCGTAATCGGCGACGTGATGTTGGTTTCTGTCGCCGGGAATCAACACGTCTTCCTGCGGTATAAACGACGGAAGTACTGGACGTGAACCGGGAAGCCAAATGTATCGTGTACCAAAAACGAGAACAAAAGAAACCTTAAACTGCTTCTCAAAACGCCTTAAAAGTCTTGAACAAACGGTAATTTCAACTTTCAGCAGGCAGTCTGAGTTTAATTTAGTATTATATACAAACCTTCTTCTCTTCTAACTTTTCGTAGTTTGCCGCCTGGAAGCGCAATTTTTTGACCGCGAGATTGACAGGGAAATATCGAGGACTAGGATGGCCTCATATCATACAGAAAGCCTGCGGTATGTGCGGCGGTGAACTTTCTTGCACAAAAAAGGGAAGTGCTATATCGGACTGCAGCCTTCAACAACGTCTCGGCTTGAGGCGCGGCGGAAACATCAATATCGCGCAGGAAGATTAAAGTAGCTTACGAAAAGCTTTAGTTTCTGATAATGTATGCATTCATGAATTTCTTTCTATCTTGGGCGCACCTCTCGCCGCCTGGCGTGGAATCAATGCCGTACGTTCATGTAGGAGCCAATCAGTGTTTGTACGTACATAAAGGTTGTGACTGTTCAGGCCTGCTCGGGATTGTCGAGTGGCCAAGTTGAGACCAGGACACATGAAGGAATCGTGTTAAACACATTCAGAATCATTTCCCCGTTGCCGTTGAGTCTGCTTAGGAACCCTGAAGAAGATCCGCACAAAAACGGTTATCGAAACGCTCATTCGCCAACACTACCTAAGACTGTTCACAGTATTTCTGAAGTCCGATATGGGCGTCTCCGTTGTCACCAGGCTGGACATCAGCAATGATACGACCGGGAAGCACGTCACGTAATCGGACTAACAAAAGGCGCACATCGGTGCTTCCGGCGCCGGGCATGTCTTCGCCACCACTCATGGGCCCCAAGCTCCACTGCCGCCATCCTTCAGGCTTCTGGATTTGGTCTACTGACGGGCGTCGTTGACCCTCGCGGCCCAATCGTTTGCCGATGTTCCTTATCGGACTTCGGGTTCAAGTCAGCCTAGATGGAGAGCTATGTGAATGGTAAGTTGTCTTGGATGATAATTAACAATATTAAGCTAATCAATTGTTGATTCATCGACATCCTTACAAGAGTTTCGTAGGTTGGGATGCTGATAGTCATGCGGCAGCAGAAAACACGAGCTGGCGGGCAGTCACTGGCGTTCAATAACGGTTGCATGCTTTCCCCGACCGAAGGATTCTGGAAGGATTCAGTTGCAGGGTTCTATGGTCATTCTAGAACAAACCGTAGTTCTCAGCTGCACCGCCTTACGTACGGACAAAGGCTCAACGACAAATGAGCAGCTTCAGACTTTACTGTCGATCGCCTTCCCGCCGTTGGCCGATGCCTTATACTTGGCAGGCGGGGGGAAGACCTTAGACATTCTAGCAGATCAGTTTTTTTTCGGCGTAACAAGCCGGACACAAGACTGGCAGATCGGGAGCAGGCGATTGCGAAGCCTTTATCACGCATACACTAGTGCACTGTTGATAGATCGCCAAGAGTCCAGGATGAGAACGCGCTGTTATCAATGAGACGGAGCATCCAGCCACATCCCGATGCAACGTCCGTGAATAGCGCGCTAGATTGAGCGGGAGCGGGGATTGTCAATCGGCCCTGCATCCTGACAGCACGACGACAATCTGGAACAGCTTAGCGTTCAGCCATTTCCCGTTTTTTCAAATGCCACGGGCGCTATTAGCTAAAATCTATTCATGTCAGGAAGTTTTGTGGGCTGAAGAATGGCGACATCATCATGGGATAGATCGTCATGGGCATACTTTTCAGCGACTTTACGGCCGGTCCGAATGGTGTTTCTTGGCTTTCAGAGAACCTGAGAATAAGCTTCACAGGGCGCCCCATCCTGTGCCTGATTACACTCCGTTGCGTTGACAGCGTCCGCCCCCCCTTTTTGCCGAAATTACGCACGCATAATCCC